AATTCAAACAACTCGCCAATTTGGAAAAAATTAAGTTAAGAACCTGTTGATTTGCACACAATTTTAGTTTAGCTCTTTGTCACATAATTATTAAAATAAACCAAAAGAAATTTAAGTAAAAAAGCAAGTAAAAAAGAATGTTAATATTTTAAACATTATAAAAGCTTATAAACTATAAGTACTGCTCAAAAAAGAGATTTTATCAATATTCATATAGCATTTTAAAATTATTTTTTGTTTGGAAATTCTATTGCCAGCATAATGGTAGATTTTATCAGAATCAATTCATCTTCAAACAATTCTAAAGAAAAACAAATTGTTTCTTTAGTGCTTATTCATGTGTAAAATCTAGAAATCCTTTTCCAAATAAAAGGAAGAAAATGAAAACTACGTAATATTCAAAGAGATACGAACGAGAGATATGCTTCTGCAATAAATAAAACCAAATTGCTAGATGCCTATTTCCTTGATTTTGGGAAAGGGAAAATCTACGCTCGGCTTGTCTAGAATTTCAACAGCCCATCAAGTGCAGAATTTCGACTTTAAAATTTCCCAGCATTAACAATGTCCATTTATATTCGAGCCATCCCTTGTGGTTTTGGCCAGTGAGTCGAGTCGAGTGTAATTTAGGACATGCATGTCCGACTTGACAAGCTTCTCTCTTCGACTCTTCCACTCTGCACTTGGTCACTTATATTCCTGCTTATCAATATTGTATTAGATCTGGACTGACGTACCGCTCGGCAATTGCAGCAGATTTCCATGAATGGCAGGCTGCTTTTTCGTTTAGTTTTTTTTTTCGATGCTGACTTATTGAAATTGACAGAAGGTTAATGGCGTTGAATGACGCTGAAATTGAGGCAGCAGCTCTGGCAATTTAACACCCGGCTGGGCAGTTGAAAAAGAGGGCGGGTAGCGGTAAGCGCAGGACGAAGGACGTAGGGGGCGGGGCAGGACCTTCGCCACATGACAGCGATTCGCAACAGCCGCTTAGAGTTGTGAGATGTGGGAGATGAGAGCGGGAGATTTGCGATAAAAAATGATTGCACATGCGAGCGTTTTGGCTCGAAATTGCAGCATTTGCGGCATGGAAATATATTTAGAGATATATATAGATAAATTGGAATTCGAGGAGGGGTGAGTTTGGCGGTGAGACAATCGGGCACCCTATGCCCTGGATTTGCACTTGCCGCTCGGCTTTGGATTTGGTTTTGCCTTTGGTTTTGGCGGGTTATCAGTGGCCCCGGCCATAAATCACTGTCAAGTGTCATTCGCCCTCGAAGCAGCAGCAGCAGCCGAGTATCCTTTATCCCAGCCGAGAAGGAAACTTTTCCACACACACCCACACCCACCCGCTATATATAGAAATATATAGAGAGCGGTATCAACTTACCACGAACATGTGCCCGAGGGGCAGGAAGGTGCAGCGCCGGAAGCTGCAGCAGCCACTCAAACGCTACCGAGGACATGGAAAATGCCTGGATATGGAATGGAAAAAAATCGAAAAAGTTGCTAATTAAAGTTTGTGTTTGCAGGGTGGGGCCATGAACTTCGCCCCCATGAACTTCCGGCCCCCAAGCGAAAGTGTTATCCCCCAATGTCATCTGCAATTGCACGAACTCCTTAAAATACACTTGAAAAGTTTTAACAAGGATTGAAGGAATTTTACTAAAATTAAATTAAGGGAATATTACTCAATTTTATTTTATATATTTGGGATTTGTTACTTGAATATAATTTGATTGATTAAATTTTCCATGTCGAATAATTTATTTATTTTATAAATTCTCTTTTTTGTTTAATTCTCTTCATAAATACAATTTATGTTTTTTTTTTAAATTTTTTTGAGAACAACCTCTGCATTTTGTTGACTTTAGAAACTTGATTTTGTGCATAAATTTCAGTTTCTGTGTACTTTTCCCCATTTGTTGGACGCAGCTTGCATTCGTCACGCATTGGTTGGCATTTCGCTGCGCTGTCAGTTGGCGAAAAACCACAGAGTTAGTTGACTTTCCCTACCCTCCGATGCCGATGCCATGGCTAATTTCCGCTATTGTTCATAATTTTTATTGCGCTTGTTGCGAATTAGTTTCGGTTTCGCGCGACGTCAGATCCCGATCCCTTATCAATGTTGCAATTTTTTGCAATTTAAAATTTGTTATAAATCGTCGCTGGTTTCGCACAAGGGTTGATCCTTAATGTTCCCTTTGCTCCCTTTTTGAGAGGCGTTGACAACGGCAACAACATGAAGAGCCTGCGATTACAGGACTGCGAACACGATTGCACTCCTGACTTCCTGAGGGTGGGTTTTTCAGTTGCATCAGGATGTTGTCGAGTGTGGGGGGTAAGTACATTTACCAGGCTCATAGCTATTAAATTGTGGGCAATTGACCGTCTCGAGGGGGCGTGGCCATCGTTTAGGGGCAGGTACCTGGGGCATGAAGATAATTGCGGAAGTTGCGGGCTGATCAGCACAACAAATTATTGGGTTCGATTGGAAGTTTTGTCAGTTGGCCGATTTAGAAACTCAGAAAACAAGAGGCAATTTGGTCTACAATAACAATCTAATACTGACTTACTAAATCATTTTTTCCCAATTAGTTTAGCAGAAATAAAAAAAATATTTAATATTGTGGAATTTATAAGCTTATTATGAATTTATAAACTTATGTAAGGGGAAGATTAATTAAAGGCAGTAAAGTTATGTTTATGATAACTCATAACTTAAAAGTCCACAACGTAGACCAACATCACAGATTCTGTTACCCACAACATTTAAATAAAATATAGCGAGCTCAGAAATTTTGATTCGAACACTTACAAAATGTTATTCGGAAATGTAGTATCTACATTAATATAGCGAATGTTCGAATGTTATTTGTTATGTTATGTTGAAGTCTTCCTGCTGTATTTCGGTCTCTGTAATGTAGATATAAGCTATGTTACGCCAAAGCCAGTTCCCCAATGAATGTTATTTAATTTTAAAAGTCTAGTAGTACTAGACGCTGTCTACATAAATATGGCAGATTTTAGGCTGGAATGTTAGATCTAGAAACTGAAATCTGTTATGCTAAAATCTTTCTGCTGTATTTCTAATGCGGATACACGGAGTCTGTGAGCTTAAAACGTATTTATCATCATTCAGCTGTGATAACAGTATTAGCATTTACAATTATTTTGGATTTTTGAAAGTATATAGAGCTGTTTTTATCGAAGGGCATTAATTAATATGGAACTTTCCAATCAATTAAAATCTGTAATATTTTTGATATTTACTGTAGTGTACTGTTATTTATATCAAACGATTTTTCCGAATGAATTCTTTCAATTCGCTTGTAATAAAAAAGGAATTATTTTAGTATGTTACGAATAAAATGAAATAAAAACCTAACACCAACAGTTAGCAGTTAACAGGTGTTAGAAACCAGACCAAAATAACAGAACAAAATAGAACCAGGACAAAACAAATAACACAGACATTCGAGGATTAAACAGACTTTTACAGCATACATTTACATTCCACCCCTTCTTGAAGACAACAATGTCTACTCACTTTTAACATTCGAATATAGACCAATATTCCGCAGACAGGTGAAAACATTAACAGAACGTCCTGCTCAAAGACGTCACAGGACAGTTTAACAGTTCACAGAAAATAAAATTCGCGAAGGACCTAGGGGTAGTTTCTGCTGTTGGGGTGATTTTCGAATATGTTAAGATTTAATGCGCATTATATTCGAATGTAGACTAATGTTCCCCAGACTGCTGAAAGCATTAACAGGATGTTCTGTTCACAAAGTCACAGAGCTGCTTTAACAGTTCACAGAAACTAACATTCGCAAAAACCCAGGGGTAGTTTCTGCTATTGGGGTGATTTTCGAATATGTTAAAAATTAAGTTGCCATGCCAGAACAGAATGTCTAAAGGGACTTCGAATTAACTCTCCTGCAATTTCTGCTCTGTAAACCTGCTAGTTGGAGGACTGATGTTTTACCAAAACAGGAAGGACCGCTGTTAAACCGTAACAGAACTGACTGCTTATGAATTTACAGAGGTTTCAGGTTTGTACGAAATGTTTTGAAGCCATTACAGCTGTTGGTAGTAAACAGAAATAAGGTCTTGTGTCTGTTGGGCTCATTGAGTTAACATAATTTTGAGTTTACTAACCTTTTGTTTGGAACTATGTTAGGAAGCAGATAACAGTTTAAAGAAAGAATAATTTTGATGATAACATTTTTAAAAATGTTTTTATAAAGTGGTTGTCGGAATTAAAAGGTGTCATCGCAAAATTCCAAACATTTTGATATATTCTTATTAACAAAATCATCGCCATGCGGTTAAGATTCCATAACCTACAATTTGTCACATTTATAAATCAAAGATAATAAAGATTAGTAGTTGAATAAAAAATTTATATTGTATTATTCACTAAAATTTTATAAAAACTTTAAATTCGATTAACGAGATCTAAGCCTTATCCTTAGCATACAGCTGTCTAGCCAGGACTATATTGAAATGCATCTGATTTTCCCCAAACACTTGCTGCCTCCGATCCAATTCAGTTCGTACCGGAACGCTCGTCACCTGAGCGATTTGAGCAGGTCGTGTCCTCGAAAGAGCGCTTCTCTTATCAGTGATAAGCCCGTCGTTATTCGGAGTTGTAGAGTGGTGAGTTTCGTTTCGGAGTTGAAAGTGGAACAGTGGCTCTCTCGCTTTCTCTCTCTCCGGCTGAGAGTGTCCTTTCGCTCTCTCGGCAGGACGAAAGCCGAAGTGTCCACCCGCGCACAAATCTAGGCAACAGAAGTTCGGAACTTCGGGAGACAGTTGCCGTGTGCGTGGTGGAAAGCCGCCTGAGACCCGAAGTCGGCCACGAACCGCCGACCTTATAGAGGGGTTCGTTGGGTGGGGTGGTGCAACGGCGGCGGCCACTGCTTCTGCCTTTCAGCTGGGAATTTATTTGCGCAAAAACGAAGCGGCTCAGTTTCGTGTTTGTTGTGCGCTCGTAAGGATGTGTCCGCTGGCGCTGCCGGACTTCGTGCGTTCGCGTCGCGTGTGTGCGCGTTTATCCTGACGCCTGAAAATATATCTCAGCCAAGGAGGCCAAAAGGGCCACGAAAAAGTGCTTCAAGCCAGGCCAGAAGAAAATATAGCCAGGCTAAAAAATATCTCGAGTGAATGCCAGAATAATCACACAAATGATACAAAAAAAAATCACAAATTACAAAAAATAAAAAATAAAATGAGGCAGTCGGTGTCAAGTTCGGTGTTAAGTTTTTATTTGTGTTCGTGTGCTTGGCGAGTACCAAGATCCCAAATACCAACGATCTCTCGAGGATAAACCAATAACTGCTAGAAGGTCTTGAGCTGCAGAAAATTGAAAATACAGCAAAAGGTGGTTATTCCTCTTGGTTATTTCATGTGTTTTTTTTTCTGCGTTTGACCCACAAGCATAACTAAACGATTTATAATCGAGGCAACACAAGGCAGCTAGGAAATAAAATTACAAACTCATACTGCAGATTATTTTGCATTTTCGGGGGGTTTTTCGGATTTATGCTGACCCACTTTGCAGAGCGTTTTCCCTTTCAATTTGAGTCTTGAAGCGAGTTGGCCAAGACATTCTGGCCAACTTATCCCTCGGCCATCTCAGTTAATTAGTTTAATTAGTGAGTGTCGTGTGCGGTTGGTTAGTCGGTTTGCTTCGGTTTGGTTTGGCTTGGTCTGTCCCAGAAATTGGTTTGGCATTTCGAGGCAAAATTAAGACCCTTTCGGAGCAAAGTTTTATTTTAAACTGCTGACCCAGGATCCGGTCATGCCCTGCCGCTAATAGCCGACATTATTGTTAGGACTTGGAGTTTGGGTTTGGAGGGTTTTTCCGGAGACGACCAAACAAAGGACTCGATCGACTTAGTGTATATGTGCCATTAAACAAACACACACCAAGCTGGAGAACCCTTTTTGCGCCATTTTTCTTAATTCCATGGACTGCCATTTGTTGGGGCAATAAAAGCCAGCCAGCGACTTGAGACATTTCGTCGGCAAAAAAGGAAAAAAAATGTATAAAAAATAAAACAACAATGGCTGGGAAAAACTTAAATAAATTTATTTGCTTTGCCACTAAATTTGCGCTGATTTCGGCAGCAGTGCTTCTACTACACTTTCGCATTATGTTTGCCCCACTCAAAAAATGTTTGTCAACAAAGGCAGCGAAGCGCAAAAATGGTTCTTGGACCTGGGAAACCAGAGAGTGGTGTTTGTGTGTGTGTCCCTAACCTTTTCGAGGAGAAGGAAGGATTTTTGGCTCGAGTGTTTGGCGGCACACGTTCAACTATTTTAGAATTTGCGGCACGTGCCCAAATTGCAAACATCAGCAAATAATAAAATAAATTCAGCCAGCACCCGGGCGTTGGAATCTAAACCGAATTAGTCGAGTGTCCCTTTTTGAGTTTTAGGTTTATAGTAATGCTTACAAGATGATTAGGCGTATGCGGTTGGCATGTGATAAATTCCGCCGAAGGACTCTTCGTGTAATAATTTCATTGTGGCAGCTCTGCGATTTATATTGTGCTTTCAAGGGGCGGCGCAACAATTGCAGTTGCACTTGCAACAAAGGCAACTTGTTGTTGGATGGCTGGCTGGTTTGCTTTCAACTCACCCCCTCCCTTCTTTTTGTAGCAAACACTTGAGCCACGCAGCCACTGCAGTTGCACTTAAGCTGCTGCTGCTGCAGTTGTTATTTCTATTTTTCTCTCTATTTTTCGCACACCCATTGTGAACTGTCTGGCATTATAATCTCCATCTATATGTGCCAGTACAAAAAAAGAAAAATAAATATATATATAGAGACAACTCCACCGCGATATTGTGCTCACTTGACACTTGTTTTTCCTGGGCCTTACCTATTTTTATGGCTTACACATACACTTTAAACTGGATCAATCTATAAGAAAGTGAAGTCCAATGCAAGGACATTCGCAACACCTCTGGCCGTGCTAATTAACCAAGTTCCAGCATTCGCATTCCCATTTAGCTGACTGCCTTGGCTTTTTCCTTTCATGTCAAAGCATTTAATTATATTCCTGCATTTACCCGCTCTAACTTGAGCTCCACTCTTTCACTTTTTTCACTGTTGGACTTTGCCTGATTTATTTATGCATTTACCTTTTGCGAGTTGCCCAGGGAGGAAGCTGCTGTCATGCTGCTGGTTCGTTGTCTTAATTCATTTTTTATTCCAACGTAAATAAGCTGTAAATTACAACTTCTGTTGCTGTTCCAGCTGATGTTGCTGTTGGTGTTTCTTTTGGTGTTGCTGCTGTCCCGTGCATATTTTGTATGATTCTACTCCACCGACAATTCCCGGGCTGCTGCTTGTTGCCCTGCCTCATGCTTTATGCCTCGTGCCTCATGGCAAATGCAGTGCCATATTTTTTCGCTCTTCACTGCCGCACTGTTTTTGCAGATACACAGGAAAAAATCTTCTTCACAGCTCATTACAAAAATGTCCAAAGAAATATTCAACTTTAAAATGTTCTTTAATTCACAATCAAAGTATTCTTAATGAAAATAATTTTTTGAAGCGAGCAAAGTGTAATTTTATTTACAACTTTTATTTATCAAACATTACAAATGGCTTAATATTTGAATATCCGTTCAGTATTTTAGTTAAAAGCAATTCTATGAGAAAATTAATTTCAGGCTGTTCCAAAATTAATTTTAATAAAGTGTGTTTGTAAAGTAAAAATAGTTAAATTTATAAAGTCTATTAAAATTGATACTTGATTAAACAAGTACGTATCATGTTGATAGATTTGTGTTCTACTATATTTTTTCTCTGTGCTGCAAGTCACATCTCCCGCTGCTTTCTGTTGGCAGCTCCTTCCATTTTGCTACTGTTTAATTTAAAGTTTGCCCCCGAATGGGGTGCCACTGCACTTGGAAGTGGTGTTGTCATAACTGCAAATCGGCTACTGACATCCAGCTACTTAACGCTCCTCACTGTTCTCCACTCGCTGTTTGGGGCATTCGGGCATGAAAGCGGCTCGGAACTGTCCACGGACCCAAAGGGGACTAATGGCCAAGAATGGACGCAAAAAGAACTGGCCAAGGAGGAGGAGGCGGGTCGAGTGCGTTTGGAATTATGTGGAAAATTGAGAAAATGTTGCTCAACTACAAACTACAAGTTGCGAGGCACTTTAATTGCCACCGGGCACATTGCGCCACTCTGCAATCCACAACCGGTCATTACGAACTGGATTTTGGGGTGGCAGAACGACCTCCGCCCCTCCTCTACTCGGTTTTTCTATTTTCCGGAGGTTTGGGAGGGTGAAACTTGTTGAGTGACGACCACTGACGGACTGCCACCGGAGATGAAAATGTTTTTCCAGGGGGCAATTGTCGTTAAGGTGCTTAGCGTAAGGCGTTGACTATTTGAGGTCGTCTAGCCGCGACTATTAATGGGCTTCTCGGGCCCATGTCTTCATTACGGGTCTAGTTTTTCGAGGAATTACACCGGCCTCACCGTTCCATGAGAACTAATAATAGCGATTAAGTGTGTATCAAGAACAGCAATACCATTCGAATTACATATTTGTTGAGGTAGTTGAACTTTTCTACTGACTTCAGAAATGTTTGTATTTATTCAGACTACTTTTACTTTGTTTTAGGATGAATAATAAAATATTTTTTTTACAAACACTGTTCCTTAAAAAAATTATATTTCTACTCTATTTTTAAAATTTAAATTGTGCTTATAGCTGTCCAAATATAAATATCATAAAATTGAATAAAATTGTAACAAATAAATGTGGAAAATAAAGAAGTGAATGTTTTAAAATAATTAAATTTATTACACAATTTTTGGAAAATATATTAAAAGCTATACCGCTTCAATCTTAACATCTCCTCTTTAATATTATAAATTTCCACTGAGGGCCCTGCATAAACTGAATTATTTTTTTAAACGCCTGATTCTTAAGCAAAGCCAATATTTATATTCAGAAAATATACAATTTTATAATATTGTTTTTCAAGGGAACTCAAACAAACTTACGTTAATGTTGTTTCCTGGCCACGGCCAAAACCAAACAACAACACCAACAACGCTGTTATGAAAAAGCTTATTTACACGAACCGAGTTTTTATGCACGAATATTCATACCGGCACACATTGTGTGGTGTCTGTGAAAAAGTCAACGTGTTTTTTCGCCCACGCGGAAAACCAAGGGTGTGTAATATGGAAAATAACTTCAATTACCAGCTGCGGCAGGTATAATATTTTGCCAGCACTCCTTTGATTTTTTCTGTGAATCAGTATATTGTTCAAAAAAAAAGGAAGGGAAATATTATCGGAAAAGAGCTCAAACCAGAGGTGTGTTGCAATGTGCGTTAAAAAATTAAAAAGTGCTTGTGTACTTGTTAAAGCAGAGAAATATACAGCAAAATGAGTATAACGCCTGAGGTTCAAAACGATTTGCCGTCTGCACTTCGCTCTGTTTTCATTGAAACTTGCCGTAAAAGTTACAAATTTGAACTTTAAATTTTAACGTCAACATGTAGGGGTCTCCAGAGGGGAGAGGGGGGTTTACAAAAAATAAACTTGCAGCCTGCAGCAAACACATTAAAACAAAGTTTTTAAAAGCAACCACAACATTTACGTCATGTGCAATGTGCGGCGGGTTGCGTTGTTCGTTGTCAGTGTTTGTTGTTGTTGTTGCTGTTGTTGTTGCACGAGCTGCTGCTGCCAAAGTTGAAAAGGGGCGCAAGTACGGGTAGAAGGGAGGGGGGCGTGGCAGCTTTAAGGCCAACTCTCTCGCAGTTTTTATAGTCGAAAGCCAAGTTGTTTGGGCCAACAGCAATCGCCATTTGCTGCCACATGTTGTAACTGTTGCCGCATTAAATGTGCAGCCCGCCTCCGGCGCATTTCACTTTTACTATGGAGCACCCCTCCCGATTTTACAGCCCACCCACCGAGTGTTGCACCACGCTCTACCCTTTTTGGCCACATTAGTTGACTGCACACCACCAGCAGAGATTTCACTCCATTTTATGCTGTCAGACTTCCGAGAGCGCCGCTGTTCTCGCTTGTTGTAAAAATGCCAAATTCATTTTCAGCATATAAACTTTAGCACACACACATAGCAGCACTAGCGGGCTTTATATTCCCCGCTGTTCGGGACTGACATCTTTAGTTAATTCCGCAGCCGCAGAAACTAAAACGAAAGGGATAGTGTCTGCGGAGATTTTAGGAGACCGTAAAAGTCGCTTAAATTGAAAATTGAAAAAACGCTGCTGCCATATGTACGCACACAATCTGATAGGAACCATAAGAAAACGCAGTTAAATCACTAGAAAAGTTTTAAATTTAAAAATCCAAAAGAAAAAAATATTATCTCTTTAGACTCCCTTAGAAATCAGGTCACTTAATACCCTTGGTATATAAAAAATATTAGTTTTTTAAAACGCCCTTAAAAATCAGGTCAAATTTCTAAAAAAAACCTTTGCAAATATAACCAAACTGATTGAAAGCAAAAATCAATCGCAGCCAAAGCAAATGTGATCCTACTTGCACAAAAAATTTAATTTTCATTTTTTCCCTCTCTTTCGTATTTGCAGTTCGTTCAAAATGATCACCTAAAGCCAAAATCGGTGCAAGCAAAAAAACTAAACTAAACCGAATCAAACTAGAATAACTAAAAAACGCATCGGCTCATAACGCAAACATAGTTTAATTGGCACTGGAAATAAACAAAAAATAAATGTAAATTGATTTCGGAAAGCCCAAGGGCAGAAAACTAAAAACCAAAACAAAACCTAACCAAACTCAACAAAATATAAAAAACGTAACGCAAACCACCGCAAAAATTGCTTTAGTAAAAAAAAAGAGTAAAGAAACCGGAAAAACATAAACGTATAAAAACCAACTCCCAAATCGCATCAAACAAAATGACGCTGCGCATATCGGCCGAATACGGAAATCATCGAGGGCTCATCATTCCTGGCTTTGTGCTGCTCCTGATTTTGGCCACCTTGCCTGCCTCGCGGGCAGGACGAATCTTCGGTAAGTCCTGGTTACAAAAATATGTACTTTATACTTTAAAGGGGATGCGAAGGATGCGATCAAAATTTCTATCAGTTGTTCTTGTTTGCGGCACTAATTAACGCGGGCAGTTTGCAGCTAATGGAATTTTTAATGCCGCAAAAGACGCAATTCTGGGGAGGAGGTCGTCCTGTTGGCATTACTTAACCCTCACCGCTACTTTCTTGGTTTCCTGTATTATTGGTTTCGGGTCAACGCAGCTCCATTGACACGGCAAATTGGGGGGAGGAGAAAAAGAGCTCATGTTCTTTTCGTATTAATTATAATTACAGAAGGTCGCCTTTTTATGCCAGCAGTCGACGTCGTTTACATTAATGAGGGACGTCAATGTCAAAAATAAACAAAGGCCTCTCACTCTGGCTTTTTGTATTGGAAATGCCAGCGACATTGTTGTCTTTTCCTTGGGTGTACATTTTTATTGCACGAGTGTGTGTGTGGTATGTGTGCGGTGTGTGTATGTTTGTCTGCATTGTTGATGTAATGAAAATAATTACATTTCTTGTACGTGGTTTGTAATACCCGGTTGGCAGAACGGGAAAAGTCACCAGATTTTTGGGACACATTCCGAACTAATTAACTGGCAAATAAATAAGTAAACATGGCAACAGTTTTGTACACATGGTGATAATTTACATTTAATTATGGCCGCATAACTAGTTCCCCGCAGAACTGACAAAATACAAGGAAAAAAGGAAAGGGTTGCTCTGCAACTTCCACTGGGCTCTCTAATTGCAGGCAGGTTTTGTCTGTCGTCTGTCCGACTTTTCCGGCTTTCCCTCCAGTGTGCCATTAGATTCGGTCACAGAATAGCAATAGTGGCAACAGCAAAAACAACAGCGAAAACAACGGCACTGGAGAGCAGTGAAAGCGGACACAATTCGCAGCTGCAGCAACTGGAAAACCAAAACTTTTGTTGACACACATTTTTTCACGGCCCCAAAAAGTGCGCTTCGGAAAATGTGCACGCAAATGAGCGCAGTTCGCTCGTCATCAAGAGCTGCAATAAAAAACGTTGGGAAAAACAGGCGCTAACATAAAAAGCCACCGCATAAACAAGTGATGGCGGTGGGTTGTGTTTTTTGGAAAATATTCCTGTATTTGGATCATCCTGTATTTTAAAAGGGTTAAAAGTTCTAACCAAAAAAAAATGTATTTAAAAGGATTTATGTCTTTTTATCAAAAACCTTTGCGAAGTGTATTTAACGTTTTTATGTTTCAAATAAAAAATATAGATATTCAAAGGCTGTTCGCATAATGAGGACAACAAAATATATTTTTCACAAAAAAAAAAAATAATAAAATATATTGTACCAATAAAATATGATATAAAGGCATTATTCATTAGAAAAATAAAAGAACATGTAATTACTCGAACCGTCATTGACTTTTGAAGCAAGAAATTATTAACACAATTTTTTTTTGTGTAAAAAATAGTTGTCTAAAATTTAAAAATATTTAAAATTATTTTTAAGCATCACTGGCTAACGAACACATAGCCAAAAATCAAGCCATCCCGATTACAGATTTCAGAGTGTGTGCGTGTGTGTGCATGGCATTAGGTTGCCAGTTGGCGGCGCTTTTTGTCAGGCATTTTAATGTCTGCCTTCAGCCGCAGCCGCAACAGAACAGCAATAAAACTGCAGGACACACGCACACACACATAGACACTGCCGGCAACCGCACACAATCACACATTCATATATAGATATATCCGTCCATGAAAGCGAAAAGTTTACGCGCTTGTTTGCTATAATTTCGATTGTTTTCACTGCAGCAGCAGTAGTGGCAGCAGAAGCAAAAGCAATAGCAACAACGATTGCACCAACCTGCCACACCCCTTTGGCCGCCCACCCACACACACACACACGCGTAGAGATTCCAACGCCTTTCAGTTTCCCAGGACAATTGTGCACCATTCTGCAGCAATTTTCGTTTTATTGATGTGCATTGCCGCCATTGCAGCGAAGTTTGATGCTGCAACTGCAACTGCAACGGCACACTGAAAATAAGCTGCATAAGTAGCACACACTTTTACTTTACTTTTGTTTGCGTTATGTACTTTCGGTTAAGTGCGAGAAATTTATGAAAAACTTTTGAAAATGTTTTCGCAATTAAAGTCCCCGCGACACAAAAACAAAGGCGGGCTTCGAACAAAACGGAGTGTACTTGGTCTACTTTTCCTCTACCATCTACCATCCACCATCTAACGCTTTTCCATAGAACTGGCTTAAGTGGGCGTGTAACTGCAGCTGCATGCAGCTAATTGTTGGCATAAACGATGCCACCCAGATTGTTTCAGATGCAAAAAGAAACAAAGGGGCCTTCCTGCTGAATGCTATCCTGTGCAGGGGAAAAATCACCCAAATTGCCCATCATCTGGGAAGTTTTTATCTCGCAACAGACAGACGACTTTGAAGTAACTAAAACATCAAACTTTAGAAAATTTACATTTTTATAAAAAATGACTTGATTTTAGGATGATATTAAAATAAAAATTGAAAGAAGTGCTTGAATTTCTTTATTGCCTCAACTTTTTAACAAATGGTCCGATTTGAAGCATTTCTTCAACATTTTAATAGGTTTTAAATAATACAACAAAATTGCATTTATAATTTCTTGTTATTGGAAATAAACTCAATAATAAAATAAAAAATTTAAAATTTATTTATAAAAACGTAAGTACTGGTAGTGAAGGAAATTTAATACTTATCTTCTTGATGTTTTTTCCCTTTAATATATAAAAATAAATAATTTTTTCTACAAGTGCTTGCCAAAGAGATCCACTCTCCCCATGAAGCATATGTGAAAAACTGTCGCTTGAATACAACATAAAGTTAATGGGTAACCAATAAAAACAATGGTGGCAGAACAGATCCCATGAATAAGTCAGACAACTGTTCCGCCATCTCGAGCATACGAATAGGTTGAATCGGCAATTTTTGCCATCAGGACTTATTTATTGGTTCTGCAAGGGAGACACGTGTGCTTGAGTTTTACCTGGCTTTTCCCCCTGGGGACCAGACACATTGTCTTTTGGCCATTTAGGAATAGTCAGGCATTAAGCGCAAATTGGTGAATTGAATGCTTGAATGGCGGCTGCCTTTTGTTTGCGGCTATTAGCCCGCCTAGAATGTCCTTTCTGCCGCCCCGGATCCTTTTCACACATCTGCAATTACATCGGCAAAGTGTATTGGGCGCACGTCGCAAATCGTTTCGCCTTTGTTTTTAAATTATTCATGTTATGGCTAAGAGCAAACAGCGATTTAGGACTCCCCCGATTCGAGGCACGCACTTTATATTCAGCTCATTACAACGACGCCAAAACCGTTGGCGACATTGTGGGGGAAAAATGCCGAGATTTTATTTAGTGTGGGCCTCGTCCTTGGCGGCTATCCTGTCTGGAGTAATTTCTTTATTAGATTCATTCGGGCCCTCTAGGAAATTCTCACTTGCCCGAGGCGAAAGCAAAAGCAAAGGCAAAAGCCAAGGGAAGCGGACGAGCAACAGAGGCTAAAAACAATTTTCTAAATTAGTTTTTGCTATCCCAGCTATCCTAGGCGAACGAAACTGCAAAATAGCAGAGGATATTATTTAAGAATTACATAGCGTAGCCGGGGGATAAAAGTTAGTTTTGCACATCCTTTAATACCTTTTAAAGCTTAAATTCAGGCTTTTACCCACCCCCTCGTATTTTTCAGTTGCACATAAATCAACAAAACCCACCCAAAACCGATGCCTTACGGTTATGAAATATTCAATAAAAAAATAAATAAAAACAGACGAAAATGTATGGCGATTGGGCATTTTTTTTTAATCTTTGGGAGGATTGGCGGGCGCGGCTTTATGACAACAAATTTTAATCATTATAAAATATACAGGAGCGTGGAAATTCACTGCTTGCCCAAAAAACACGTTCAATCAAAAAATGCATCGAATTTTCACCCGCTTCCATTATGCAATACAAACAGCCGCCAATGCCTGAACATATATATTTTTATTCTCCCATAGTATTTTATACACATTTTAATTAGTGTATAATTAAGTAAGGAAAAATGATCACGAAGCGTGTAATTCCAAAAATTGCTTTACGAATAAATAAAGTAACCACAGTAGTGACCCGATTTTAAATGCTGTCTCTTAAGTGTTGAAGTTTAAAGCTGGTTTAAAATTATTTACAAGGGGAGAGGGACTTTTAAGCTAGTGTAAAAAACCCTTGTTATATTTATTTTACGATGCAGAGCACATGATTTTTAGTAATTAAATTAAAGTTTATTTGACAATTTCATCAGCACTTCGCCTTTGGCAACCTTTCTTTTTTATTTACTACTTTTCAACTGGCAGCTCTCTATAAGTGTGCTAAAATAACTTACAGTTTGCTTTGCACATCGGCAAGCAAACAGAAATGGCAAATCCATTCGCATTGACAAACTAAAAGTGCAAACAAGAACTGCTTTGACATTTGTTTGGTTTGCCACAGCAACGAGTACATGGTAAATAATGCGGGATATTTGACTTTTCAAAAAAAAAAAAAAAAAAAAAGGGGGAAAAGGGGAAACCGAAAATAGAAAATAGTTCCCCGGACACGGACATGCCATGCATGTCATCAAAATATGCCAGATTCGGGGGCCTTTTCATAATTTATGCGGACAGGGCGCCCACAAAATAATACAATGCCCCGTATAGAGGATCCTTTGGATTTGGGAGGACAATGGCTGCTTTGTTGCCCGGTCGCCTGGCCATTGGCATTTTCAATTAATGGAAAAATGTCAGCGGGGCTTCCATGTGGCCCACAGCGAAAAATAATGGACAAAATTGCAGCGGAGCCTATGGAAAACGACACATGCATATCAATTAGCAGGTTGCTGGGCGAAGAGCCAGGTTCTACGAATCAAATTTGATTATTTGCCACGATTCATTGCAGGCGAAAAATCAGAATCAAAATCAGAAGAGAACCAATCAAG